GACAGCTCGTAGGTGTCCTGGCGCGCGTAGTCCACCGGACCGGCTAGGGTGAGGCGGCCTGAGCGCGGGTCGAGCCGAAAGAGCCGGCGCGCCTCTGGTGGAGTGCGGGCGCCGAAGGCGAACACTACATCGCCGTTAGGGCCCTCGTCCGGGTCAGCCGCGTCCAGGTCGAGGAGCAGCGAGCCCACGGGCGCGTCCTCCGCCAGTTCCACCTCGGCCACGGCGCCTTGTGGGAAGGCCGGGCTGTGGTCGTTGGCGTCCAGCACGCGCACGCTGAGAGCGGCCGTGGCGGAGCGCGGCGGACGACCGCCGTCCTGGGCCACCAGCTCCAGGCTGTAGGTGGCCTGGCTCTCGCGGTCCAGCTCCTGCAGCAGCACCAGGTCAGCGCACTGGGCGCCGTCCGCACGCGTCTGCAACTCCACGCGAAAGGGACTGTGCGGCTCCGCCAGGCGCACGCTCTGCAACCCGTTGGCGCCCACGTCCTCATCCACGGGCACCTCCAGCGGGATCCGAGTGCCCACGGCCGCACCCTCGGACACCTCCACGGGAATCTGGGCTCGGGGAAAACGTGGCGCGTGGTCGTTGACGTCCCTCACCTCCACCTCCACGTGCACTAGCCGGAACTGCTCCTGCGAAAAGCTGACCACGTCGAAGGCCAGCACGCACTGTGGGGCCTGGCCGCACAGCCGTTCGCGGTCCAGGCCCGCGTCCCCGACGGTCAGCTGCCCGTCACCCTCGCGCACCCGGAGCAGAGAGCTGTTGAATTGCTTCATCAGGCGGAAGCTTGTGTCTCCGGACACTTTCATATGCAGGTCCTCAGCCAGAGTCCCGATGACCGTGCCAGGGGCATCCTCCTCGAAGGTGCTGTATCTAACTGTCTTGCTCTGGGCCACTGAGAGCACCCAGCAGAGGCCGAAGAGCTGCAAGGGGAAGAGGCAGGGGCTGCCCCAGCGCCTTCCTGGGTTCATGCCGCTAGCCCCAAGTGCTATTCCTAAAGGCTAAGGAAAAGAGTTCCCCCTGTATGCAGACCCAGGCGTGAGTCCCAGGCTTCCCAGAGTACGCTCTTTGGAAGCCCTGTTTGGGAGAAGACTGCCGGCTGCAGCTTGGCGGCTCCAGCGGGCTCTGAGGACGCGCGGACCCGCCCTCTCTCCGAGACTCTCCCTCTCATCTCCGAGCTGGAGCTGCGCCGCCGCGCGCCGCCTGCGCCTTTATAGGCACCGCTATGCAAATCACCCGAGCCAGGCAGCCAATGGCCGCCTTGTTCTCGCGCCGCTCCTCCGCCAGCCTCTGACAATCCCTTTAATGTGGAAAGGCTTAGAGGGGAAAACAAGAAAGGAAAATTAGGAAATCTTTCCTTTGTTTCTTTAACTCCTTTTGTCCTCCTCCCCTTTCCTGTTAGCACCCTGCATAGAGAAGAGTTGGCACAAGGCTCCGGGGAGTAAAAGGAACGGACGATTTTGTTAATTGTGTGCTCCTCTCCACCTCTGCACCATTGCGACTGCTACAACCAAAGTGCAAACGTGCTGGGGTTTAACCTGAGCGGCTTCGGGTCCCCCCTGCTCCCCGCCCACACCTATACTGCATTTTGCACCTCTGAGGCTTTTGAACTCTTGCAGCCTCTCAACAGACTTGCTCTGCCCAGTAAGGCTGTTTGCCTTCTCTCCCAAGCTTCCCACGGCTCCCGGAATAGCCTCTTGATGAAGAAGCCTGAAGGATAAGGGAAAACTGATTTTATTCAAATTTGTGTACGCAATTGTGTTTTGCTCGTGTGAGCCCTGGTGATCAGAGCTGCCACTTCCCTTTCAGAAAAGAGCCCTGCGATATGTTAATATGCATGTCACTGTCCAAATGGCTTTCTTAAGCCCTGGGCGCTAGCAAGCAAGGAAAAAAGTTCCAAATAGGATTTAGCATAAGCTTGAGGAGATTTGGAAAGGTTTCAAAGATCAGACTGTATCAAAGGCTTATGAAGCCCTCGTTAGCAGTGGAAATAGAATGGCATGGCAGGCGATCCCATCGGAGGCCCCAATGTCTGTATTATTTCACTGTGACAAGCTAAGGGGAGAGAAAGTTGAACAGTTTCCACAGCAGAGTTGGGCTAACTTGAATATAATGAGCAAACGCCACATGTATCCATTATGTTCCTCTATTCATCCCCAATCACTGCCATAACTCTCGGCTAAACGGTGATGGGCGCTGAATCCCACACAATGCCCTGCTCCTATTAAAGTGCATTTAGAGAACTTTCCCTCCTGATGCCTTGTTCCGCCTATTTAGAGGATTTTCTTTCTGTTGTAATAGGGCCACTCTGGGAAGCAACACTCCTCCCTTTCCAGAAGAACAAAATCACAGCATGACGTTGAAACCTGGCACGAACCTGGAAGAACTTAACCATCTGCCTACAAAAATGTGAGGCTTCGGTATTGCCAAACTCTGGATCAGGCAGGTCCTGGGGCTGGCCGGGTGTTGTACTGCCCCAACAGATAGCCCAGCCCCGCATCCTTGAAAACTGGAGCAATGGAGCTCAATACCGAGCAGGGCAGATTCTTACCGAAAGGCTTTATGAAGCAGGCTATGCAAATGCACATGAAGGAGAGATAAAAAAAAAAAAAGTAATACACTAGAAGTAATTAAAAAAGAAAGAAAGAAAGAAGGAAAGAAAGAAAGGCGATGGCGTTGGTGAGCAGATTGCATTCAGTCAACATTCTTCTGAAGCCTGATTGAAGTCCTGCTGTCAGCGTCCTGTCCTCAAGCTCTAAGGAGTATGTTTTAGGGTCTTTTCAGAAAAAGAGCAGGAGTACCCCCAGAATAGGAAGATCAAGTATGGAACGAGGTGGGCAGTGGACAGAGGAGGAATGAGGAGGTGTGTTCAGGGTTGCAAGAGAGCAGAAAATGCAGCCACAGCTATCAATTAAACAGACACGATGGGACTGGGCAGAAGAGAAGTTTGGGATTTCCTCAGAGCGGTCCCCTACTCGATTCCTTCCCCCACCTCCTCCATTTGCTGCCCTGAAAATGCATCAAGGAAGACCAGGCCTTGCTGAGGCGCAGGGACGTAAAAGGTGCTTCGCTCCCTACAGGAGCCCCAATTGGTAGCTTTCTCTTCCCCTTTCCCCACGTCTCATTTAAGGTCTTATCTCTCCGCCGCAGTCCTAGACATTCCTGGGTGGGGGGTACACACAATCGAGAAAATTTGCTATCTTTCTTTCGAGCCCCTCAACATCCCCATCCCAACCTTGAACTTGTCGTTGACCTTTGACGCTCCCAGACTCCCGCGCTCCCTCCTGGGTCAGCCCAGACAAGAACATATTCAGAACTCGACCTGTGGACAGCGGCCTGTGCACTTCCGCTCGCGTAACCCGGGGCGGCCAGGCGGGCGCCGAGCGGCCGCGGTTGGAGCTGAGAACCCGGTTGAAGGTAAAGGCAGGAAGGGCTGTGGGCGGAAGTCGCCCAGCAAGGGTATCTCCATGAGCAGAGCCTGGTGGCGAGCGGCGGGGAGCCAGACTCCACGCCAGCGCACCCTGCTACCACTGCGCCCCGCGCCTCGCAGCTCTGAGCTGGACCGCAGGAGCTCAGCTGCGCGCGGTTTAAGTTTGGATTGTTTGCTCGGCGGGAGTATGGGACTAGGCGATACGTTTACTCAAAGTGCTTCTGCGTAGGGATGCTCATTCTCAAGAGTGAAATAAACGAAGGCGTGCTTGGAGGGGGCTAAGAGGAGAGGAGCCCGCAAAAGCCGAGAGTCAGGAGGAAAGTGAGGGGCAGCCAGTAGCAGGTCCAAAGCATTTTATCTGCTGCCAGGGCCCTCCGCCACTCGGAAGTGGCAAACA